TCATCCTCCTACGCTCCAGCGAAAAACATCCCAGCCTATTCAGCCTCTCCTTATATCTCAAACCTTCCCGTCTTGGCAACATCTTTGTAAATCCATTCTTGCACCCTTTCCTGTTTAATAACATCCTTCCTATACCAGGGCAACCTGAATTAAATGCAGTACTCCAAATGTGGCCTTACCACCGTCTTGTACAGCCATAAAATAACATCCCAACTCCTGTGCTGAATGCTCTGACCAATGAAGGCAAGCATACCAAATACCTTCTTCACCACCCTGTCAACCTGTGACACCACTTTCAAGGAACTATGTATCTGCACCTCTAGGTCTCTCTGTTTGACAACACACCCCAGGGCCCTACTATTAACACTCTAAATCTTGCCCTGGGTTGTCTTACCAAAATGTAACACTTAACATTTATTTAAATTAATCTCTATCTGCCATTCCTCGGCCCACTGGCCCAGTTGATCAAGATCCCATTGTACTCTTAGGTAACCTTCTTCAGTGCACACTGTCCAATTTTGATATACTTGGGCAGGCAAACAAATCAAGAGAAAACCAAGGGTCATAGGGACCTGCAATAGGTTAGGGTTAGGTGGGCATGTACGTTAGTCCCTTAAAATATCTGGATGGGTAAATTAAGTGATTAAGAAGATAAATAGGATACTTGTCTTTATTAGGTGAGACACAGAGTTTAAGAGCAGGGAGGTTGTAATGGAAAGGTATAAAACTCTAGGCACAGCTGAGTATTATGTGCCATTCTGGAAAACACTACAGAAGAGGTGTGATAGCACTGGAGAGGGTGCAGAGGAGATTTACCAGACCTGGGCTGGAGAGTTGCAGTTATAAAGAAAGATTCAGCAAACTGTGTTTGTTTTCCTTCGAGCAGAGGAGACTGAGAGGGAACGTGATTGAGATGTATACAATTATAAGAGACATAGATAAGGTAAAAGGGAAGAAACATTTCCCTTTGGTGGAGGGATCAATGACTGGAAACAAGGTAAGGAGCTGAAGATTAAGTGAAACATGAGGAAAAGGATTTTTGTGGGAATCTGGAAGTCATTACATGAAAGGTAGAGGCAAAAACCTTTGTAATATTTAAGAATTAAGAATGTGCTGTAGCAATGCCAAGGCATGCAAAGGCAAGGGCTGGAAAATGTGTTTAGAATAGTTAGGAGATTGTTTTTGTCTGGCCTGGGTACGATGGGCTGAAGGGCCTTTTTCTGTGCTGTAGATCTCCATGACTCTAAGACTCTAATTATGAGCCATTGACATATTAACTCTGACAGTTAAAACTCCAGCACCCTTATAAACTCCCCGCTTACACACAAATCCAGACAGATAGGAAAAACATTGGTGTTATCGTTGGAATGAAAGACTGGAAAGGTAGTTCAATGGTCTTTGCCCACAGGGTTTGCTGAGATAATCCAGTTAGCTTGTCAGGATATGCTGTCCACATCCATCCCTGCATACATTTATCTGTTTGCAGGAGGTGCCTGGTTAACATTTATAAATTCTCTGGCTTATTGGGTAAGAGCCACAGCTTCTAGCAACTGCTGAGGGAAAAATAAACTTTTTTTTCAGCTTAAGATAGTTCTTATAGAAAAGAAAAGAGCTCTGGGCCTCACAGATATCCAGTAGCTTCTTGTTCAGAGCAGAAGCTGTGTTCAGCTACTTGGAAACCAATCACATGTCTGTTGACAGGCAGAAAACGTCTGTCATCTATAACTGATCATTGGTTCACTGACCAATCAGCTATTTGTTGCTGGCTGAATCTCCATTTGTACACAGCCCTTGGCTGCAGCTTACCTGCACCTTCTCCTACTACTGCTTGATCTAGCAGCTGTGTAAACAGTGCTTATAATGAGTGTCAGGTCGATTTTAAAATGTGCAGCAATCCTTAACGACCCTTGTTTCTGAAAATAAACCTTTTCCCCATTTCAGTCCACAATCAAAAATACAGAAACAAAAATACAAAGATGTGGTCTTTAACACCCTCCTAGGTGTTGGAGGCATTGAGTTCCAGGGTCTTCTGAAGAGGATTTACTGACTGGATGATAAAACTATAGCTACAGTGGAGGTGAGGGAGATGGTTGAGTAATGGCATGGATGATTAAGTCCTGGCTGGACTGATTTTGTTCTGAACAGTGTCACAAAATCAGCTGGAGAAATTCTGGTACGTGTAAATTCATGTAATGGGTGTTTCAGTGGTAAATCTTTGGAATTCCTTACCCCAGAGGCTTGTGCAAGTTCGATCACTTAGCTGGTTCAAGTCAGGAATTGATAGGTTTCTGGATAATAAGGACATCAAAAGAGATGGAGGTAGTGCAGGCAAGTGACATTTCAGCCATGATCAGATTGAATGGCAGAACAGACCTGATGGGCTGAATGGTCTACTCCTGATCTAATGTACTTTTATATTAGCCTGGCTGACAGATCCGTGGGATAGCAGTATCTGTTCCTGACTCTACTTCACCACTGTCACTAGATATGAACTTACAACATTGTCAACACTCGCATTCCATTAACAATTTCTCAATTTGCTCCACTTGTTTATGCATGGACCTATAAGAATGGAAAATTGGAGATGGCAACAGTTCTTATGAGCTGGGGGATTTTTAAAATTATCTATCCATATGGGTAGCATCGTGACTAAGCAGTTAGTACTGTTGCCTCACAGCACGACGGACCCGGGTTCGATTCCAGCCTCAGTTGAATGTCTATGTGGAGTTTGCGCATTCCACTGTCTGTGTGGGTTTCCTCCAGGTGATCTGGTTTTCTCCCTTGGTCTAAAGATGTGTAGGTTAGGTGTGGCCACGTTAAGTTGCCCTGTAGCATCCAGAGATGTGCAGGCTAGGTGAGATAGCTGTAGAAAATGTGGAGATAGACTCTATCTGGGTGGGATGCTCTTTGGCAGGCCAGTGTGGACTTGATGGACCAAGTGGCTTTCTCCCGCATTCTATGATTCAGAGGATTGTGGGTGTCACTGACTAGGCCAGCATTTCAAATTCAACCTGCCAGAGGTGGGATTTGAATCCTGAACCCAGTGTATTAATCATCCAGTGATAATACCGCTAGGCCATTATCTGGTATAATTTTATATAGCTCAGATTGTGCCAAACATAATTGCAATTGATTTAAGGGTTCCAGGAGGTCCGGCTAGGTATAGTTTTTTACTGTCTGGTTAAACACATAATTATGTTTATTAGGAATGCCTTAATTTAAGTTTAAGAAGAAACAGCTGGTGGCTAGGAATTGTCTGAGTGCATGTATTTAGAGAGCACCTGCAATAATGTGGAATGAGAGGACTAAGACCCCTTGGTCAATAAACCTTCTGAGCAAAGTAAAAGATATTTCTGTTATGATTTTTAAACTCTCAGCTGGCTTGGAATCTATGGGAAGAGTCTTCTCAAAGTCCAGATAGTCAAAAGGAAAAGGGAATGGAGAAGTGGACTAGATAAGCTTGGAGGTTGGGTTTTGCATTGCTTATGGCCTATGATGTCTATCTTGCAGCAGACTACGACATCCTCATGAGGACTCAATTGGGAACTATGCACAGTGCCTAGCGTCAAATTCAAACCAACCTAGGCCACCTTCTCAACGCTGTGAGATTAAATCTGAGGAGATCTCATTTCATGGGTAAGGTGGTGATTAGTGAGCACTGGGGGGAGGGAGGTGGGTGTCTCGTTTTCTTTGGTGAAGAATTATAATGTTAATATCTTCCTTTTATGCCTTTAATTGTTTAAAGACTTTAACAGAGTAAGGGAGCCAATATGATAAGAATTCTGGTAAGATTATTGAATATTCCTGGTGCATAGCTGTCACTGAGTGCGATTCCTCCTTCGTTCTATGCTCCAGAGTGTATCTCCTTGGAGGAGGCTTCTTATCAATAGTGGTACTTTTTATTCCTGTAAGATTTGCTGTACTTGTGGGGAAATGTTTCGATGCCAATTCCCGAAAGGGCGGTGGAAGCATATTCAAAAGTAACACTCTGTACAGAATAAGATCAATACCTGAAGGAAGAAACATCGACAGGTCTATGGGAAAGATCGGAGGAATGTCATTCATTGGCTAGCTCCATGAAAGAGCTGGCAATGGCACGATGAGCCAAATGGTCTCCTTCTCTACTCTATCTTGTATGATTCCTTACCAGCAACAAGAATTTTATCATGTGGTGGTGACCATCATGCTGAGTAAACTCTGTACTTCATCAAAGTGCACATAATTCCAAGTGTGTTGTAATTAATCAACGTGGCATGAGAACATGGCAGTTCCTTGAACCAGTGGGGGATTACATTTCTTAAGATTATAGGAAATAAAAATATCGAGCTTGCTCTGCTGTTCAATGTGAGCATGGCCAGTCTGACTATCACCTGTTGGTCCCATATAATCCTTGATCCTGTGGAAGATCAATAACCTGTCTAATGCTGCCTTTAAGTATATCCAATTACCCAGTTTCCACTGCTCGCCACGGAAACGAATTTCAAAGAGTGGAGGAGAGGAGGCTGAGAGGGGACTAGATCGAGATGTATAAAGTTGAGGTGCTTTGATAGGAAGAAATTTTGCCCTTGATAGAGGGATTAATGACCAGGGATAACAGATTTAAGGTAAAGGACAGAATGTTTACAGGGGATGTGAGGAAGTTTTTTTCACCCGGAGGATGGTGGGAATCTGGGACTCAATCTGCCTGTGAGCATGGTAAGAGGCAGAAACCTTCATCACATTCAAGTATTGGATGCACATTGCAATGCCAGGCAAAGACATGGGCCAACTGCTGGAAAATGGAATTAGAATAGTTAGATGGTGGTCTTTGACCAGCATAGAGTCAATGGGCTAAAATAGCCTTTATCTGCACTGTGGATTGCTGATTCTATGACTCTAAAACTACACACAATGCTCTGAGTGCAGTCCAACTAAGCTCCTATACAATTAAGGCAAGGTTTCTTTATTCCTATACTTTACTGGTCTTGTGATAAAGGCTGACATTCCATTAGCCTTCCTAATAGCTTGCTGCATCTGCATATTAGCCTTCAGCAAATTATCAACAGGAATACCTAGATCTCTCTGTACACTTTCCAATGCTATACTACTTAAGAAATATTCTGTATGTTTGGGTCTCCAAATTTAGATAATCTTGCATTTATCCACACCATATTCCATCTTCCATGTTTGCGTCCATTCACTAAGCCTAACCAAATCCTCCTGAAGCTGCCTTACATCTTCCTAACATTGCACATTCTCACCTGGCTTTGTATCATCCATAAACTTGGTCCTTGCCTCCAAATCATTGATACATTCATGAACTTGGGGTCAAGTACTGATCCTCATGGTACACCGCTAGTCACATACTACCAACATGAGAATGACCGATTTATTCCTACTGTTTTCTGTCTGTTAGTGAATCATTAATCTATGCTAGTACATACTTTTTATTCACTGACAGGATGTGGATGTCACTGGTTGGGTCAGCATTTATTGTCCATCCCTAAGGTGATGGTGAGTTGCCTTTTTGGTGCAGTCTATTTGATGCAGGTAGACCCACAATGCTGTTGGGACAATGTCACTAGGATTTTGATCTAGTGACTGAGAAATGGCGATATATTTCCAAGTCACGATAGACAGTGGCTTGGAGGGAGAATTTGCATGTGGTGATGTTCCCATGTATTTGCTGCCCTTGTCCTTTCTAGATTGTAATGGTTGTAGGTTTGGAAGCTGCTTTAGGAGCATTGGTGAATTTCTTTAGTGCCTCCTGTTACCTTCCGTTTTTTTTCTCACGTGCCTTGACTATTTTTTTGAATCAGCCTCCTTTGAGGGACTTTATCAAAAACATTTAAAAAATCTAAATATGCTATGTCCATCCACTCCCCTTTTATTAATTTTGGTTTAACATCTTCAAAAAATCTCCCAAGTTTGTCAACACTATTTCCCATTCTCACAATTCATGCTGACTATACCCAACCAGGTCATTATCAACCAGATAATAATTTATTTCTATCGTCCATGGAGTGACATTTGTTACCTTCCTATCCACAGGAACCATTCCACAATCTATATATTTTTGGAAGATAATCACCAATGCATTGTTATATCTCTACAGCCACCTCCTTCCACATTCTGGGATTTAGATTGTCAGATCCTGTGGATGTATCAACTATCAATCCCTCAAATTTCTCCAGTACAACCTTCTTACTATCAGTATTTCCCTTCAACTCCTTATTCTCTACAGTCACTTGGATCTCTAATTGTGGAAAGTTCTTGTATCTTCCTCAATGAAAACAGACAAGTCTTTACTTAGCGTCTCTTCCATTTCCCTGTTCCCGACATAAATTGTCCTGACCCTGCCTATAATGGACTGACACACATCTTAGGGAAACACTTCCTTTCAACATGCCTACAGAAGTTTTACAGTCTGTTTTTACATTGCTAGATCTGTATTCATACTTAATAGTTTCTTACTTATGAGTTTCTTGACCCTCCTTTTGTCCTCCCAAACCACCCAAACCTCCCATTTTGGACACTCGATAGGCCCTTTCTTTTAATCGCATACAATCCTGAACTTGTATTGTTAACTATGGTTGATTGGATTCTTTTTTGAGTTTTGCACTTTGAAGGAATTTCCAGGTGCTATACGCCATGTAATAGTTTTATTTTAAAGACTATCCATTGCCTCTATACAATCATGTCCGTTAAAATGTGTTTTTCCAATCCATCTGAATGAATTTGTATCTCATGCCTTCATACTTTCCCTTATTCAAATTTAACACCCTTGCTTCAGAATGAACTACCTCACTTTCAAACATCATGTAAAATTCTATCATTTCTGGCCAATCATGCCTGACGGTTCTTTGGCAACAAGATTTGTTAATTAGCCCCTTTTCATTACATAATACTAGATCTTTAAAATAGTATGTCCTTTAGTTGGCTCTTCAATATATCGCTCTACAAAACCATCACGAAGACACTCCAGCAATTAATCCTCCATAGCTTTAATGCTCAAGTGGTTTACCCAATTTATTTACAGACTGAAGTCATCCATGATAACTCTGCTCATGCTTCATGATTGTCTCATCTCCTGATCAATACTACAATTAAAGTACAGAATGAATAATATATCTTCTAATGCTGTCAACGATAAATTCTGGCTTTTGTGTATTGTCTTTGATTTCGTAGATCAGAATGCAAGAGGAACTTGAAAGGAAAAGCAAACTGGAAATCGTCAAGATCAGGAGAAGCACCAATTTCCTTATCAAATACATGGAAATGCATCTGCCTGAGGTAGATCTGGACTAATTCTGAGCTCAGGGGTAGGAATAGCAGATACCTTAGATGGTGGGAGCAGGACATAGGTCAGCCCTGCCAGCCTTTTTGAGTTAAAGCCTGAGTGGAGAGATTAGGGACCTGAGATCCTCCCTGCAGCCTGTTGAGAACATTAGCCTAAAAGATGTTCTGTAACAAACAGCGAATACCAATCGAAATGTTATCTTATGATATGAGCCAGATGACTATTTGGCAAGAAATCCAATTGAGGGTTAAGTGGGGTAAAGATACTGCATCACATGTGGAGTATATTTGTTCCTAAGTTGCTGGTACCATGAAAATGTCAGGCCTGGATTGGATTTGTTTCTGCATCGTCCCAAAAACTGAGGGCTTCAGGGAAAATCTGACCCTGCCCTTTCCTAAGGATTAGAATTGTTTTAGCACATGTTCGCTCTCAGGAGTGGAAGACCCACGGACACTACAAGCAGTTGTAACGCACTAACTAAGATGAATTGGTTAAATAAAGGATTATGTTGAATCCATGACTTTCCTGGTCTCTGCTGTTGGGCACCGAGGTTTTTAAAAGGAGACAGAGAGATGAACAGAGGTTTTAGTGAAGGAATTTGAGAGAGGGTAAGGTCTAGGCACAAATTGCACAAAGAAAATCAGGGATGCTAAAGAGGCCTGAATTGAAACACTACAGAACTGTTGGAGGATTATAATACATGAGGAATGTAAAGAGACAGGTGGGTATGAAGGCATTGGGTACTTTTAAATTTTCGGGTTTTGTTGGACCAGGAGACAAAGAGTATAATGGCAATGGCAGCAATCCTCAAAATTATGGATGATTGGGACCTGTTGCAAATTAGCCGAAATATTTTTTGAGGAACTCAAGTTTTTCAAGGGTGGAATTTGAGAGGCTGACCAAGAAATCACTGGATTTGTTGAGTCCACAGATGACAAAAACATGGATAAGGGACTGAAGTAGGAGAGGAAATAAGCAAAGATATAAAGGAGAGATGGGTGTTCTTGGTGAGAGAGCCTTTTGGATGAGAAGCTTCATTCATGGTCGAGCAGTTCAGGTTGTGTATGGTCTGGTTCAGTCTCAGGCAGTGGTCAAGAAGATGGATAAAGCTGGTGGCTAGTGAACTGGGTTTGAGCTTGGGAGCAGAAACAAATGGCTTTGCTCTTTCCAATGTTTAGCATAGTGGAAAATATTACTTGTCCGAAACTGGAGTTTGGTCAGGCAACATGGCGAATCAGAGTGTAGAGCTGGATGCCACGTCAATGCAACTGTTGGATTTGATGTATTTTTGGACGATGTTTTCCAGAGACAGCATGTAAATCAGAATTGGGATATATCCTTGGGGAATTCCAGACGTGCTGACAGAATAATCCCCCTACATCATTGGTGGGAGCTCAGAAGGTGCTAAAAGAACTTTGGGTTATTGAAAACTTCTTTTTCAAAGTTAGAAAGATTAAATGATGCTATTTCACTCCAGTCTTCTAATGGTAAAATGATGCTGAAATTTGTTTCAGGTATTAAGAGAATCATAACAAATCAGATATCTCAAATGATGCAGCCAATGGCTACCCTTATTTGCACCAATGATCTAATTTTTAGTTTTAGCTCCTCCCTCTCTCCTAACTCTCCCTCACCTTTGATGGTTTGCATTGCACTTAACAGGCTCTGCATATAAATTAATCAATTGGAAAACACAAGCGATTTACCGATGGTGGTTAAAAGATGGAAAGATAAATTGGTGATTTGGTGATTGGAAAAGCCATTTGGTTGTGTAAAATAGCACTTCCAGATATATAACAAAAAGGGCAATTAGAATGGAGGGCTCTTTTGGCACAGTAGTCATGTCCCTACCTGAGTCAGGAGACCTGGTTTCAAAGTCTCACCTGCTCCAAATGTCATAACATCTCTGAACAGCTTGATTTAAAAGTAACCAAGATCTTTTTTTCAAACAATCAATAAATGCCCCAATGTATATCATAGCATGGCGGGTGTGGTGAGCTGCATTGGCGCAGTGGAAATATCACTGGACTAGTAATCCAGAACCCCAAGAAAAGGATTTGGGAAATAAAAACTGGAAGAACTGCGGATGCTGGAAATCAGAAACAAAAACTGGAGCTGCTGGAAAAGCTCAGCATGTCTGGCAGCATCTGAGAAGAGAAATCAGAGTTAATGTTTTGGGGTGCAGTGACCCTTCCTCAGAACTGTCAAAATGATTTGGAAATATGAGTTCAAATCACAATATACCAGATGGTGACATTTGAATTCAATAAAAATCTGAAATAAAAAAAGCTAGGCAGTGCTGAGCCGCAGTAGCCTAATGGATAATACATTGGCCTCCTAAACCCAGGATTGTAGGTTCAAGCCCATTCTGGGGTAACAAGGTGTAGAGCTGGATGAACACAGCAGGCCAAGCAGCATCAGAGGAGCAGAACAGCTGACGTTTCGGGCCTAGACCCTTCATCAGAAATTCTGGGGTAGTTGCTTTTAAGGGCCCTCTTGTGGTGCAGTGATAGGAGCTTAGAGGTTTATGGATGAAATTTGCTAATTTTTTGACCAGAAGACCTTGGTTCAAGACCCACCTGCTCCAGAAGTGTGTAATAACTTCCCTGAACAGGTTGAATAGGAAAATAGCTTAAATTTAAAGAAGAGCTGACAGACGCAGCCATATAACCACCACCAATTGTCATAAAAACCCATCTGGGTCATTAATTTCTTTTAGGGAAGGAAATATGCTGTTCTTACCTGGTGTGGTCGATGTTTGACTCCAGACCCACAGCAATGTGGCTGAGGGATGGGCAGTAAATGTTGGTCCAGCCAGCAATGTCCACATCAAGTGAATGGATATAAAAACAAATGTGCCTGGAATAACCTTTTATAGTGTTAATGGATAAAATGTTTATTTGTTGAATTTATGACTGGCAGTGCAAACAGATCAAGTCAATTCATTTAAAGAGAAAAGGAAAGTTTGAACTGTTTACTTTGAAGCTCAAGCATAAGAGGTGACTGAATTGAGGTTTAAGATAATTAGAGGGTATGATAGAATTAAATAAGACTGTACCTTCAGGCTGGTGAGTTGATAACCAAAGGTCTGCAATCTAAAAGCATTGGCAAAATATCTACAGGGAGATGACGGAAGATTTTCTGTTCACTCTGGAAGCTGTGCTTGTGAAGGTCAAATTGATTCGTGAGTCATTTTTTTAACGAGTGGACCACATACTTGAGGACGAGGAGCTTAGAGGTTTATGGATGAAATTTGCTGATTTTTTTGACCAAGTAGGATCGCTCTTTCAAAGAGCTAGCATAGACAGAATAGGTCAATAGCTACCTGCTGATCTGTAAGTTTCTAATTCTTTAGGCTCTATGAAATTGGAGTCTTTTCAGTGTGTTACATTTTGACAGGAGGCTGTTTAGTTATAGCTGCACTCAGCTGTGATGTTTGATTCTTAAGAAAATGGCAAATTTGAGACTGACTTATTTAACAGATGAGAATCCCAACCTAAGCTACCCATAAAAATTTTTAGTTGAAACAAACACACACCATCAATGACCTTAACACACCATTATCAATGATGTGTCCAACTGCACACATACAATGCATTAACACACAAGCACAAAGACAAAGAGGAGCAAATTACTGCAGATTCTGGAATCTGTACTGAAGACAGCAAAAGTTGGAGCTCACAGCGAATCTGGATGACTCTTCATCAGAGCTGAAGTGAATTGTGGAGGGGCAGCATTTATGCTATAGTGGGGGTGTGGGGTTTGGAGTGCGGGGGGAGAAAGAATGTTGATAGTTCAGATTAAGTGATCAGAATGTGAGAGTGGCAGAACAATGGTGTGTCTAATGCCAGACTGCAAACAGGTAGTCCAACTCCAGTAGGAGGAGGCGAGGGGGGACGTGACGACAGAGAATTTAACAAGTAAAGCTAAAAGAAAGGGAGGGAATGGATTCACAGTCTGAAGGTTTTGAACTGTATATTGAGCCCCGAAGGCTGTAAAGTGCCTAGTCCAAAGATGGTATATTGCAGAACCTATCTCTGTCTTAAATACAATCATGACTTGGCCTCCACAGCCTTCTGTGGCAATGAGTTCCACAGATCCATCACATTCTGGCTGAAGAAATTCCTCCTCATCTCACTTCTAAAACATTGTCACTTCACTCTGAGGCTGTGCTCTCAGGTTCTAGTCTCTCCTACTAGTCCATATATTTTGTCCATGTCCACTCTATCCAGGCGTCTTAGTATCGTATAAGTTTCAATGAGATTCCCTCCTCATCCTTCTAAATTCCATTGAGTATAGACCCAGAGTCCTCAAATGTTCCTCATATGACAAGCTCTTCATTCCCAGGATCATTCTCCTCCAGACCCCCTCCAAGGCCGGCTCATCCTTCCTTAGACACAGGACCCAAAACTGCTTGTAATATTCAAAATGTGGTCTGACCAGTGGCTTATACAGCCTCAGCAGTACATATCTGCTCTGGTTTCTAATCCTCTTGAAATGAATGCTATTTGTCATTGTCCATTTGTCTTCCTAATTGCCAACTGAACCTACATGTTAACCTTAAGAGAATCCTGAACTAGGGACCCAAATCCCCTCGTGCTTCAGAAATTTGAAGCCTTTCCTGATTTAGAAAATAGTCTATACCTCTACAAAAATCCTTTCTTCCTGGATTCGGCAAAGAAGTGTAAAAATGCTCAGGAAATTAGGACATCGTGCAAATTGTAATAATGTAACTCATTAGTACCATACTTTCCTCTATATTAAGCAGGTAAACAAATCCAGATCCACAAATCAAGGTGACCAAATTACCTTTCATTTTAAGGAATTATCTCTTATTTCGCTGTTGATCCCAAATCCCTTTAGAAAGGCCTTTTGTCTCACATTTCCAGGACATCCTGTGGGAGACTAATCCTGGGAGTGTTCAGGCTGAGTTTGAGTGACTAGAGAGTCTCTGCAAGTGAGTGAGTCACCCTGCAGAAATGATAATATTGTGATTTCACAAGATAACTTCAGATTTTTTTAAAGTTATTTTTAACCTTCACTACCCTGCTGTTATGAAATTAAGCACCCCTTTCACGTTGAAAACTTTCCCACCTTCCAGACACCAATACACCCTTGCCCCTGAATGGTTGCAGTGTCCCTTATTTTATTTCATAGCAGTTCACAGAATCCCCACAGTGTGGAAGCAGGCTATTTGGCCCATTGAGTTGACACCAACCCTGCAAAGGGCATCCCACCCATTCTCTGTAACCATGTATTTCCCATGGTTAATCCACACAGCCCGTACACTATGGGCAATTTTGTGTGTTTTGGCAATTTTTGGCCAATCTACCTAACCTGCACCTCCTTGGACTGTGGGGGCAAACCGAAGCACCCAGAGGAAACCCACACAGACAGTCATCCAAGGGAGGGATTGATCCGAGGTCCCTGGTGCTGTGAGGCAGCAGTGCTAAACGCTGAGCCACTGTGCCAACTCATTGGTCACCCTGCCACAGTGTCTCAGTCACTTTCGCTCACTGAAATTCTGGACCGCCTTGGTGTAGTTGGACTTCTTCCACTGAAGAGTGCAATTGGAGAGAAAGAAAGGAGCTTCAAAGTTACTTTCACAGATGACAGTCATTGCTGCCCCTGTATGTCACTCTTTAGGCATTTGGGTTTAAAACAATTGGTTCTGGTTGAGAGGGAATCAGTTGATTGATACTCTCCTCTTTCTAATTTCTACCCTCAGGCAAAACCAGGAACAAAAAGTAGGTGGCATATTGAAGAAGGAAACATTGAACAGAGAGACAGAGACAGAGACTGAGAGTGAAGATGAAGATGGATATACATCAGACACAATGAGTAATGCCTCATTGATGTGAGTAAAAACATCCTGGGACATCAGGAAGTGTAATTCTCAAAAGGTTCAATGAAAACTGAGAATTATTATAATCCAATTTGGGATCATTAATGTTTAGAGAAATACGAATAGTCAGATTTAATCAGTAATAGTATTACGCCACAAGATTCCGCATCTTTCAACAAGAAAATCTGCAAACTTTATTGTATTTAAAAGAAGTAAGCAAAACCAGTAATCTTCACCTGAAAGTTAAATTTATTTAATGCTTGGCATTTGGTTTTTTTCTTGCTTCTTCCAAGCAGGACACATCACTCTCCAAGTTATTTACGATGTAGGAACTATCCATAAATATGAAACAATTCTCTGGATACTGCTTTAATTCGCCATTCCAATTGTTCTCAGAGTTGAAACTTTATCTTCTCCTCTCTTTACTGTGGATGCCTCAATCCACTGTTCTGGATATTTTTACAATACTTCCAAGCTAATGTGCGGCTTGTTTTCTTTTATTGTTAAGACTCTGTGAGGACCACTGTTGATTTTTCCACCAGCTTCAAACTAGGTAATCTTTCAGCTTCCTTCATTTTCCTCATGAGATACAACCCTGGGAATAAGCCCTATGTGTACTCCACATGATGAAGTTATCTTCTATGTGTGTGCTGCAGGGCTAACTAATTGTCACTTACTTTAGTTGTCTTTTCTTGTTCAGCTGCACTAAACGCAAAATCCAAGCTGCAATTAAAAGTCTTTGCAAACACCCAGATAAACTAAAATCAGAAAATCTCGCTAAGCTTCAGCCATCTCTGTAACAGACCACATGATTGGCGATGTCCTCAAACAGACCTTCAGATTAATGATCCCTCATTTACAACTGAGAATTGATGTCTGTATTAACAACAATTGATGTCTGCATATTGCAGCCAGAGCAAATCATTTTTTGATTTAGTTGCAGAGAGTGGTCTCTAAATGAGTCCTAATGGTGGACTCGAGGGACTCCCGCCTTGAGCTGAAACCCAGTGAGGACTCGCCTGCTTTTATGTTTTTCTGTCCTTCTCTGCTTTAGAAGGATTGTGTACTGCTGAAACTTTTAACTTTATTTCTTTACTTTTCTAATTTTATACCTAAGATTTTGTACCTAGGCAACTTTTGTACCGATGATGATGCCAGAAATGGCGACTTTGTAAACTTTTCACTGTACTCACGTATCATTGTATTTGAGTACATGTAACAATAAAATGTAATTCTATGGCTCAGCTAATAAAGGCAAGTATCAGTGGCTTCCTAACCATCTGATCTACCTGTCCTGCTAGCTTCAGAAATCTCTAGAGGTCTCTCTGATTTTCAGTACTATTCAGGGTCCTACCATTCATAGTGTAATCTGCTGTCTAGTTAGCCCTCCCTTCATACTTCTCCATTTAAATTCCATTTGCCACTGATCTGCCCAGCTAACCAGTCCATTGATATCCTCCTACAGTTTATGGTTATCCTCTTCAATAGTTATCATCCTACCTACTTCTGTCAGCTGCAAACTTCTAGATCATATCCTCTTCACTTAAGCCCAAATTACCAACTTGCATCACTAACAGCAAGGCCCTACATTACCCCACCGGAAACAGTCTTCCAGTCACTGAAATATCCCCTTAGTATCACTCTACCCCTCTTGCATTTCAGCCGATTTTGGATCCACTGTGCCTTGGGTTCCATGGATTTTTACTTTCTTGACCAGTCTGTCATGAGGGATCTTATCAAAAGCTTTGCTAAAGTACATGTACACTGTAGCAAATGCATTAGCCCCATCAACACTCCTGTCTACCACCTCAAAAAATTCAATCAAATTTTTCGATCACAACCTTCCCTTAGCAAATCTGACTGACTATCCCTGATTAGTCCATGTCCTTCCATGTGCAATATACTCAGTCCCTCAGAATTCTTACTAGTAACTTTCTCACCATGTGAGATTAGATTGATTGGCCTGTAATTTCCTGGTCTAGTCCCTTTTTTTTCAAATAATGGGACAATATTAGAAATCTTCTGGCACCTGCCTACACTTCATATCACATTAAATCCCGTCTGCCCAGTTTTTTGCCCCACTCACTGAATTATCTACAACTCCTTGTAAATTAATTTTGTCATCATTAAAACATGATTACTGTCCTATTTTTGTATCATTGGTAAATTTGGATCGATTACCCCTGTTCCAAGTCATTAGCATAGATAGGAAATAATTGGGGGTCTGAAAACTGACTTGTGGCACTCTGAATTATCTTTCCAACCTGAATAAGACCCAATAGTCCTGACTCAGACTTCTATGTGTTAAACAATTCTCAATCTGTGCTAATATATAACCCCCAATGCAGTAAGCTCCTTTTATGTATCACCTTATCAAATGTCTTCTGGAAATCCAAATACATTACATCCAGCAGTTTCCCTTTATCAACCTGTTTGTTATATCCTCAAAGAACTCCAGCAAATTTGTCAAATGTGGTTTCCCTTTCACAAACTATGTGGATGCTGTTTGATTAAGCTAACTGGCCTGTTGTATCTTCCTTTGTGTCTTCCTCCCTTCTTGAGCCAAGATGTCACGTTAGCAGTTCACTAATCTACCAGAATCAATTGTGTTTTGGGATATTTTGACCAATGCCTCAATTATCTCTGCAGTCACTTCTTTAAAACCTTCATCAGGTCCCGATAACTCGTCTGCCGTTTTAGTCCCATTCATTTGTCAAATCTTCGTCCTTCATATTAGAGACTGTTACAATATATTTCCTCCCATTAACAGCTTCTTTATAGAGTCATAGAATCATACTACATGGAAACATTTGGTCCAACTCATCCATGCTAACCATGTTCCCAACCAAACTAGTCCCACCTGCCTGTGTTTGGCCCAAATCCCTCCAAACCTTTCCTATTCATGTACTTATCCAAATGTCTCTTTAATGTTATAACTGTATCTGCATCCATTACTTCCTTTAACAGTTCATTCCACATACAAACCAGTCTTTGTGTCAAAAAATATTGCCCCTCAGGTCCGTTTTTAAAAATCTTTCTCCTCTCACCTTAAAAATATGCCTCCTAGTTTTGAATTCCCCTGCCCTCGGCTCTGTTATCTTTGAGGTGTTTATAGTGTTTTCAACCATGAAGGCCAATGCAGAATATTGATTTAAATTACCTGTTGTTTCCCTGATCTACCTTATTCATTCACCAGTCATATCCTCCAATGTTTTATGATCTTGTTTTTCTGAACATTAACTTCCATAAGTTAATTTGAACCCAACATTTTAAGTGTGACAAACTCCAGGCCTTTTTGAGTTACATTCTCTCCAGAATTCATCAGCTTTCCAAGTGTAATGTCCAAAATTGAATCTTTAATTTCTAAAATAAAAGTGCTAAAACGCATGGATTAATATTCGCAACATGACAATGATGGAAATGCATTTCAAGTGAAAGAGAGCCCCAGTGAAATGTGCCATCTGATGATTCTGTCGCCTCCTTTGGGTGGTCTTTTTAAACATCTTCATTGTATTTAATTTTATTTTTGGGGTGGCTCAGCGGTTAGCATTGCTGCCTCACAGTGCCAGGGACCCAGGTTCAATTCCACCCTCGGGTAACTGCCTGGGTGGAGATTGCACATTCTCCCTGTGCCTGTGAGGGTTTCCTCCGGATGCTCCGGTTTCCTCCTACAGTCCAAACTCCCAGTGTCTGGATGCTTCCTTCCAGGATTCTAATGTCAGATCATATTTTGTGATTTTTGCAAAGACTGTACTCATAGCTTGGCTTTAATGGAACAGTAAAATCAAATGCTTAGAATGCTCATGTGCCTTCCATTTGATCGCCATCCCTGTGGAAACTACTGAGCTGTGCTAAGGCCGAGTGCCAGAAATCCTACGCAGTTTCACAGGGATTTCCAGTGCTCAGTCACAGCCACAACATGCATTTATGTAGCACCTTCAATATAATAAATGTTCAAAGGTACTTCGCAGAAGCATAACCATGCAACAATGGACTGATGGACTGAAATCGAGGTTGGAGGGCAGGTTTTAAGCAGGGTCTTAAAGGAGGATTTTTTAGGGACAGAATACAAGGCTTAGAGATGAAAGCACTGCTGCCAATGATAGGGCAAAGGCTGGGCAAGAGATTAGAATTAATCAGAGGAATGCATAGATCTGAGGGATGATGAGCTGGAGGAAATTAAAAAATATGGAGAATTGAGGCCATAGAGGGATTTGAACACAAAAAGCAAAGAATTTTTAATTGGATGCATTGTTGACTAGCTGGTGTATGTTAGCAAACTAACCAGTAATAACTGAGCAGGACTTGATTTGCATTAGGATGACAGAAATGGACAGTTTACACTTAATTTTTTTGCCAAGTCTATAAGATTGGAATGATGACATTTGGAAGCTTTATCCCACTCTCTGTAATGAATCCAAAAATGTTTTATTAATGTGGACATTAATTTTCAATTATTCCTCATGACTTGGAGTGTGTGTTGTGTTTGTTTTCTGGGCAGCAGGTTTCTTCCTGGTCATTCAGTAAGTGGTGCAGTTTTGTTCAATCATCGCAAACATCTTCACTTACTGAAGGAACATACAGAAATCTGAGATAACAAGGTGTAGAGCTGGATGAACACAGCAGGCCAAGCAGCATCAGAGGAGCAGGACGGCTGACGTTTCGGGCCTAGACCCTTCTCCAGAAATGATTCACTGTTCGAATATAGCAGCATCCCATAAATATGCCCTTGACAAAGGTACATTCAGCAAAACAGATTTTTCTCCCGGAGAAAGGAACACCAAAAGAAACAATCCAGCAGCAATGACACAACTCAAACTTTTAGCTGCAAACCCCATCTTTAACTTCAACTGAAAGCAAAATTAAAACCCTTGGTCTGTGTGAGCCAAACTCCACCCACTCATGCTCCTTCTGTCTAATTTAAAAAAGAACACACTTAGGGCACTCAAAGCTGTTTACCCACTGCTTCTGAAGCAGACGTTCTGTCACCAATGGCAACACCTGTATGCAAGAGAAACCACACAGAGCACATCCCTCTTAATGGAACAGTACTATCACACTCATTACAGCTTCAGCCCAAACATGAGCAAAAGAGCTACATATCAGAGATGAGGTGAGAGGGACTGATCTTGATATCAAGACATGATCTAACTGTGACAGTTAGGAGCCCCAGCAAAATTGAAATGGACAGGCTTAATGGGGGAAACTCTCCTCGAGCTGGAGTCAAACATAGCACTTTTGTTGTGGTCATTGAAACCAATGACCCCATCTTTAGGTGCCACATCAGTGATCTTCCCTCCATCATACAGCCAAAAATGGGGAGGACTCTCTAGAGACGTGAGTCAGGCACAGAAGACCAGACCATACCCAAAACTCAAAAAGTGAAGAAACCTCAGACTCTGACTTCACAGGAAGGTGAAAGTCCTGGAACACCTCTGTCACAACCGACACTGTGAAAACACCTACATCTGAAACACTGCAGTGGTTTAAGAAAGCACCTCACCCCATCATAGGGCAACAAATCCTGCCATTCGGAATCAATTCTGGAGATAACATTGGTCACATCTACATTAACTGTTAATCCATTTCCATTCTATGCAATGAGATCTATGCCGCAGTTTCAAAAAAAATGTCCAAATCCCTTTTTGAACACAGTAAATCGGCACCCGCCACAAATGCCATGATCATGGTACAAATGCTCACTTCTGTTTCTGGCAAATGAAGAACTTGCTTAATATCCAGTCCAATCCTGCTCTTGTGTAGTTTACATGCATCCTGTACTCTGGCCGAGCTGTAAGACTGGCAAAAGCTACCTGTGGCTAAGCAATTCAGCCACTGAATTATCTTACAGACATTTATCAGGTTGTCTCCCTATCTTCATTGCTGTAAAGTAAATAGGCCCAGCTCTTTACGCTTAACTGAGTAACTGAGGTAGTTTGAAGCAACACTTCCTGCTAACATTCTTAGAAGCCTCACTATAATTGATTATTCATTGTAAATTAGTGGTTTGGATTGAGGCATAGACCAGTATTAGAAGGATTCAATTCAGCTTAGTTTCAGTTCCTCTTCATATACATCTCTTTAGGCCGGAATACATATCAAGTGTGTATCTGTTTCTCTCATTGGTTGTAACTGCGCTCTACCTCTGAGCCAGCTTGTTGCGGGTGGATTTGAGCCCCATCTCCCACAATCCAGGACGATGTTCCCTTGCAGTGCTGAAGAAGTGCTGCACTATTTAAGATGTTGTCTTTCTGACAAGAGATTAATCACATGTTCAGTCAAATTTTGCGAAAGTTGTCAGAAGAACTGAGAAATTCCTCCCAGAGTCCTGTCCAATATTTATCTCTCAACACACACATGAATAAAACATTTATTTGGTCATCATGCCATTGCTTTGCTTTGTGTGCATATTTACAGACGTTTACATTACAACAGTGCATTGTTCAAGAGTACTTCATCGGCTATAGTGCACTCAGGTAAGTCCTGAGATCATGAGCCCTTTAGAAATGTAAGTCTTTCTTTCTTTCCTTAGGTTGGAGCAGCAATCTCCATTATCTGGGTTGTCCTGTTTCCTTGATAGCTACCAGAAGATACTTACCTCTGTTGTGTTGACTCTCATTGTCGCATGGCTACTGCAGCCAAAGTCCTTCTGGTTCTGGCCATGAGATATTGTGCGAACGGAACCTCAAAGCGAAGATGTCAACAAGTTCTGTCCCATTCTGACAGGAACGAGTATTCTGAGAAGTCGCTGGGGAAGGCCCACCTAAAAAAAAAATAAACCACCAAAAACATTTGATTGGAGATTCAGAAATTCACAGCATCTAAAGAATCTCTTGGTCCATCAAAGTCAGGCGTGCATTAAAATTCCAAATGAAACCAGGTTTTGTTTGCCTTTTGGCGAGAGGAAATTTTGAGATCTGCAAGTGGAGGTACAGTATTGCTAGAATTATGGAACACTTTCAAACCGAGGGCATTTAATGCTAGCATTAAACACAATCACATCTAATATGTCAGAATTAGAGCTAGCTCTACACTGACCCAGCAATGTACTTCAGCCCAATATCGCAAGGAGAATAGCTCTATTGTACTTGGTGTTACAGGCTTCCAAATCAGGCATACAGCGGTCTCTCTTAATTTTACTGCCAGTTTAGTTTCTGTTTTATTCACTCGTGGGATGTGGGCGTCGCTGGCTGTGCCAGCATTTATTGCCCGTCCCTAGTTGCCCCTTGAGAAGGTGGTGGTTAGCTGCCTTCTTGAACTGCTGCAGTCTTCCTCTGTGGGTTGACCGACAATGCCATTAGGGAGGGAGTTCCAGGATTTTGACCCAGCAACAGTGAAGGAATGGCGATACATTGCAAAGTCAAGAAGGTGAGTGGCTTGGAGGGGAACTTGAAGATGGTGACACTTCCATGTATCTGTAAATCTAAGCCCACTGAAATTAGAATTGCACCTCTCCAATTTATCAAACCTACCAGCACAGAAGGAGGCTGTTCAGCCTATCAATCCTGTGAAAGCCCCTTTGAAAAACTTCTTCCACATTTTCTGTTTCTTTTTCCATTATTCTGTAAATGTCACACCATCGAGTATCTGTTCAAATCCCTGAGAACGGAGATGGGAATTTTAAAATCAAGACGTTGCTTGACTGGGGACCCATGTACGTCCATGAACACTGTGACGATAGAGGAATGGGACCTGATGGAAGTAAAGACATAAGCAACAAAGTTTACACAATCCCAAGTTTATAGATATTAGAATGTGGGAGACCAGTCTGGAGTAACATAGGTATGAATGAGGCCGTCATAGATGATGAGGCAGAGAAGCAAGGTGATGTTACGGAAGTGGAAATAGACAGATTTGGTGATGGTTTGAAAATGAGATTTATTTTTTAAGGACAACCTTCCAGATCCTGATGATTATCTGAGTGGAACCAATTTGCCTCATTTCCCCTCTTGAATTTTAGTCAATGATATTGGATCTATGATGTTTAGTTCTTGACCCATGCGATATTTCTTCTCTATCTGTTTTATGAAAACCTCTGTCATCTTGAGAACCTGTATTAGGTAACCTCTTAACCTTCTCTGTTATAAGAAGAACAGTCCTTACATTTCATAACTAAAGGTCTTCATCCCAGGTAATATCCTGACGTACCTCACTTGCACCCTTTCTATGGCCTAACACTGTATCACCCAAAAAACAATACATCATTTGAGATAATGAGTTGCACATGTTGACAGTAATAAAACACTACAAAAATATCCATGATGGCAAGTAAGTAGCAAATTAATTTCGATACAGATAATTCTGAGGAGTTGTAGTTTGCCAGGAAAAGTAAAGGGGCCACATTCTGCTTGGAAAAGAGGAGTAAGAATAGGGTAAAGGGAAATAGGAATCTGGGTTACCCATTCACAAATTACCAAAGGTAATGATAATGGTTAACGAGACCTTCTAAAAAGAAAGTACAAGAGGGATAGAATTGCAAAACAAGGAATTTATGTTAACCTTGTATCAAATTTTGATTAAATCACAGTTAGAATACTGTGAATAATTTTGGACTCCATATTAATTAAATTCACAAGGAACAAGGAGTTATTTAGAATATAAAAGTAGCTGGAGCAGGGTATTTTGCAAGGAGGGATCTGATCCTGATCATTTGGAGTTAAAGGCTGTCAGGCAAAAACAAACATGAAGTCATGGTTGCCCTTTAGAGACGGTGCTGTGTAGGTGGAGATGATCAAATCCAGCTCTCCTTGGATGATTTACAAAGTTAGAGAGTAGAATGGGGCAGAAATCGACATAAGACAAATGCCATCTTTATAAATGGCGGAATGGTGGCTCAGTGGTTAACACTGCTGCCTCACAGTGCCAGGGACCCGGGTTCGATTCCACCATTAGGCAACTGTCTGTGTGGAGTTTGCACATTCACCCTGTGTCTGTGTGGGTTTCCTCTGGGTGTTCAGTTTCCTCTATAGTCCAAAGATATGAAGGTTAGGTGGATTGACCATGCCAAATTGTCCCGTAGTGTCCAGGGATGTGTGGATTAGCCATGGAAAATGTGGTACGGTGATAGATTGGGTCTGGGTGGGATGCTTTTCAGAGGGTCATGCAGACTGAATGGCCTCTTTCTGGACCATAGGATTGTATGATTCTTATAATGAAAGAGAGAATCAAGTTGAGCACAGAAGGGAATGAAGAGAGACAGAGACAACTGGAGAATAATTTGATGGCGGGCATAGGTCTTCTCTAATATTTTTTAAAGATGTTAAACTTGTAAATTTTGAGCCAAAGTCATTTGACTGTACTCATACAGGTGGCACAGAAAGCCAGCACACAAATACAACAAGCAACAAGAAAGGCAAATGCGTGTTGGGCTTTCTTGTGAGGGACTGGAACAAAAGAATAAAGAAGTCTTGCTACAATTATATTGGGCTTTGGTGAGACCACGCCTGGAATACTGTGTGCATTGTTCTGATCTTTATATTTAGGGATAGATATACATGCATTAGAGGCAGTATAGAGAAGACTGTCCCATTAAATACATAGGTGGTGTCTTGTATGTATTTTATGACAGGCCAAATGGACTTTTAAAATGTTATTACAATGCCAATGAAAGAAAAGCTGAGTTGTTCTGATTAGCATCAAAAGATCTTGATATTTTGCTGTTACTGAGACACAGTCTCAGAGACTTCAAGTGGAAATGTTAATCGAGACCTCAATTCGCTAAATATTCAGTTGCTTGGAGGCTGTAGTAATACTATTTACTAATGATCTTGATGGGGTCAGAAAGAGGTCGCTGTCTAGTTTGCGTGAAATCCAACTACAACAGAAATCCAGAATAACATACCGTTGGGATAAAATATTTGATGGATTCTCCCGTCACTTTGACAGATGAGCCTTCAACAATAAAAATCAGTTGCGGCCTAGGCTGATGTCACCTTGTGCAATGATAGACTAAAGCCTGAATTTGCATAATCAATTGTAAATACTGCACATGAAGTCAATGTTGGAGAGATGGATGGTGATTTGTCATCCTATCTATCCTATCATGTCATGCTATCTATCAGTTTTCTCCAGTGTTTAACCATCTGCAATGTTTGACCATGGGCGCCACCTGCTGACGCTCTCAACACAACACAACTAAAGATTTCTGGTCCACTTCGGTCCTGATATTTACTGGTCGAGAGTCATTCTCCATAGATCCTGTGGCACTTAATGATAGAATTTCATTTTAGCTCATTTTCTTAGTTTTCCACCAATGGGAGGTGATGGCATAATGGTATTGGTACTAGACTAGCAACCCAGAGACCCAGGTAATGTTCTGGGCACCTGAGTTTGAATCCTACCATGGTAGATGATACATCAAATGTTTGAAAGCTTTAAAAAAGGAATGCAAACAGACAGACCAGCTGACATTGACCAAGAAACTTGAAATGACAATGATAAACAAAGATATACCAACCTGCAAAGTCCTCCTTACTAATATCTGGGAACAAATTCTAAAATTAGGAGAAATGCCTCATAGACTAGTCAAGAGACAGCAGCTCCAACCACTCAAGAAATTTAAGACATATTCAAGTCCACTTGATTGGCACAACATCCACAAACATCCATTCTTCCTACCACCCATGCTCAGGAGCAGCCGTGTATACTAGCTACAAGATGCACAGCAGAAATTCACCGAAACTCCTCAGACAAAATCTTCCAAACCCATGGACCACTTCCATCCGTAAGGACGAGAGCAGCAGATACATGGGAACACCACCAATCTGCAAATTCCCCTCAAAGCCACTCACCATCTTGACTTGGAAATATACCATTGTTCCCTCACTGTCACTGGCTCAAAATCATGGAGCTCCCTCCCTAATAGCATTGTGGTCAACCTACAGCAGGTGGACTGCAGCGGTTCAAGATGGCAGCTCACCGCCACCTTCTCAAGGGCAACTAGGGATGGGCAATGAATGCTGGCCCAGCCAATGATGCCCACATCCTATCTGCAAATAAGAAAAATTCTACTGCAGGGCAGAGTGGAAAGTTACCAGTGACCATAACAGTGCGCTGAGGGAAGAGTAGGATATGCCAGCAGTCATAACTCCCCCCATTGTCCAATGGTCACAGTGCAAATGCACATAAAACAGTCAATCAATGAGGCAAAGAGAAATGGTGAGCTGTCAGGATATCAGGGCAGGTTCTCAACACCCCACTAGCCTGATTCTGGGTGTCAGGAGGGTGAGTTCATCCAGGTTTGAGCATCATGTCCACGTTCTATGATTTTTAACTGAGGCAGGTTTCGCTGTTCCTCTGCCCATCTTGTGACACAGAAGAATGATTCATGATTGTCGTCAAGATTTCTGTTCTCGTAACCAAAGCTGACATGGGGAATTCAAATCTTGACACATTCCAGCCTCGTCCCCTGCCTGAACATGTCTTCTGCGCCATCCTTGTCTATTCGGAAAGTGAGGGCCCTCTCTGTCTCTGAAAGGATAAGTTAGTGATAAGACGAACAATGTAAAGCATCTGTAATCATTCAAAACAGATAGCATACATTATTACTGTGTATAAACGGGAGGGACATTCCAATCTACCAAGGTTACCCCTGAGCTCCTGAAATTAAAAACTAATTTTCTTGATACTACTACAAGCAACAATGGAAGAAAATAGTTGCTGTTGTTAATTTTCTTTGAATACTTTTTTCATTATTGGGAAAAATATTGGACATGAAGAAGAAATGTTGTTGGAAAGAAATGCAGGAAGCATTTCTAATGCTATTGGTAGTGTCGCTGGATTAGTAATCCAGACACCGAGGTTAATGTTCTGGGGATATGGGTACAAACGCCACTAGACTGATGGTGAAGTTTGAAGTTAATAATAAGCTGCTCTGA